GAGCTCCTGTTTCCTCCCCAGTTCCTGTCAACCCAACAGTTCGAAAACTCACATGAGTAGACAAATTGGTACTCTCACTCCGGTGGGAGGAAAAATGCTGGCGGCACCTTGCAAAAAGGAGTTGGGAGCAGTTGCCGGTAAGCGCGAAAAACCACGCGCGCCCGAAAAGGGCGCGAAGCAACGGAAACCCCGCCTCCTGCACTCGCCCGCCGGGCTCTGCTCTAGGAAGGAGGCTCTGGCAAACCACTTCCGAAAAACAATTGCCTTGAAAACTGCAAGGACTTGTCCAAGCAGACACTGCAGGGTCAGCAATGACTGAGCACAGACAAAAAAAAAAAGGCTGCATCAATAGCAGGAAGAGTGACTGCCAGATCTTCAAAGAGATTTGAGGGTATCACTTTAGATATATGGGGTTGGTAACTCTTTTTCAAAGAGATGTGGAAGGTATTTGTAGAACATGTGAAAAATCACAAAAGTAAAATGTTAATACTGGAAGTGTGTAAGAAAAGTTGGGAAATATAACTTATTGCCTCAACCAGAATAATCCTATATTGCAAATATTGTTTTGTGGTTTTAAATAGTTACTATAAATTAATGGATTATCTGTTGTTGCTCTGTACAATCTTGTGTACGCTTTGTCTTTAATAAAAATGAATTGCTTTAAAAAATAAGTTTCTGGCTCTGCTTTTCATTTTTCTTTGCCAGTGAGACTCTTGACTCTATCAGTAAATTTATTAGCAAGGAAACTTCACTAAGCATCAGATTCCCAAATCCCTGCATTTCTATTGCAGACATTTGTCTGTCTTCCGCTACCAAATACATTTTCTCCTTTTGACTTACTTTGGAGTTGGTCTTATTTATATACTGGATAATTACAACTAGATGTTTGCAAATATAATAAGGTCTAAAATAAGAACTTCTCTAGAAGCCATATACCTTCAAATATCCAGGAAAGAGTAATTGAGTAATTAATAATTCCACAGGCAGTAGTCATATAAGTGATATAAAATATTTTAAAAGGTGTATCTTTTATAATGTGCAATATTCTGTGGCAGCAGAGAGTTAGAGGTGCAGACATGCATTTAATATGGGTCAATTCCTCACTATTTACTTCAGAAACGTCTCATTAAATAATATGATTCTGTAAAACCTATTACTTTTAACACTTTTTAAAAAGCCTGCCATTTATGAACAGTTTCTTCTAGTAACATAAAATCAATTTCAAAGATTGTAGATCGGAGTGAACAGACTTCAGAGCAGGAGGATCTACTTTGTTTTTTATTAGGAGCCTGGATCTACTACCATCTGGAGACAGGTGCAGGAAATAGAATTAAAGAATTCTGAGCCCAGGAATTTGTTTGAGCTCCTGAAAATACAGCTCATAGTCTTTCTAACAAACAAACAAGCAAATCCTTTTGAATATGCCAAACTTTTTTCATTCAACAATTTAGGGTAAAGACAAAATTCTTGCTGTTATCGTTAAGTAACTGAGAATTTACTGCAAATCACCCCAGTATCTATCAGTAGATGGAGATCCATGTTCTGCCCCCACCCCCTCCCCATGTCTCACAATATGCTAATCTTCCTAAATCTGGAGGAGCCAATTTGCAACAGAGAAGTACTGGGGACTTAAGCCCATTAGCTTTCATTTCTCCACTGTCCACCCTCTCTATATGGTTTCATTTTCATATTTTAAAGGTAAGAGGGCTGAAGGCCTTCACTTCACTTAAACTTTGTTTCTGGACTGTATACTGAAAATGATGAGTTATGTGATCAGATGATTCCTCATATGACCCCCCCCATTTCACCCACGTAAAAATGCAAACATCAGAGATAATGATCACATACCCTATCATGCAACTCCTTAGATGCAGAGTGAGGTGAAAAAGTGGGTTCTTTCTTCCATGGTGTACCCCTGAGAAAGAGGCAAAGCATGCAGCTCCTATGCCTCTCTATCCTTTGAAACCACTCAGTAGTGTTCAAAAGCACAACTATCACAAGGAATATTATCAGAAGGAAGAGAGACTTACCTGCCAGAGAGCAAGAAGGACAGACGATCTATTGATGTCTTGCCCTGCACCGCATAGGTTTGATCTTTGGCCAAAGGCAAGACCTGTTCTTCACAGCACTTGACAATTTCTTTGTAAGTCTGGAGAGGCACTTGCAAAGGCTGACAAATTTGTTTGTACAGGAGACCAAATTCTTCAGAAAAAGTGTCTTTACGGAGTTGGTAAATTAAGTGTGCTAACTGAAACAAGCAGATCAGAAATAAAAGCACATTCCAAATGACAATGTCTAATCCACAAGCGTTGAGCCAGCCCCATACAGTAGAGCAAAGAAAGCCAATGGACAAGAACCCAAAAATATAGATGGCACCAAAAGTTCCACTACCTCCCATATAGCCAAGGAGAAAGAAGACACTAGCGAGGTGATAGGCTGCTCCTTCCATAATATATTTCCAGTTCTCACACAAAAGAGGATGAAAAATTATCCGATCCAAAAAGGTGTTTTCTTCACTCATTTTCCCTTAACTTTAACACCTGACTTGTTCTGAAATCACTGAAATACACAGAAACCAATTCCTACACCTATATTTCTACCGAGATTTTAGAGAAACATTTCTGAAATTATGTATTTGCACCAAACAGCTCCTGCAATTCTTTTCCACAAACTGCAATACCCAACGTTCTTGATGGGATCTAAGACCTTGTTGATGAGCTCGTAGAAGCATGAGAAATTCTATCCTGAAAGTGCCTTTTGAGAACTGGGGGGGGGGAGGGGGGGAAATCACAGTCGCTAAGAGTGTTTGTAGCTTGTTCTCTCCCCAGCCTTGAGATAAATTAAAATAGACACAGTGAAAGAGCAGCAGGGAGGGCTAAAAGGGCGGGGAAGACAAGCAGAGGGCACGAGTGTTTAATTTGGAATGTATAGCACTGAGGCATGGTAAGAAGAGAGAGAGACTACATAGATAACCATGTTTGGAATTGAAATCCAAGTAGCAAAGGCTACAAGGGGAAGAGAGACCAGCCTGACATTTGCCACTTAACATAACTCAGAGAATTAGATTACAGAGTATTGTTTGTGAATACCAGTCAGAGTTTTCAGTTTGTTCTCAAACACTCTTTATCACCAGAGTATTTTTTTACACTGAGGAGGAGGAGGAGGAGGAGGAGTACTTCATTATTACAGACAACTAATAGCAATAAATTAAGAACAAAAAGGATTTGAATAAGTATTTTCATTACTGTATAGGGTATACAATAGTACAGAAAGTGCAGACAGCTAGGATATTTAAGAATATATCAGCAGAAAATCAGAATCAGCAAGGAAGGTTCCTTTTCTGAAATAAAGGCTGGTTTCTCCCACCTCAAATAATTTACTATTAAAATGAGAGGGTTAACTTCAATTAGTTGAGGATACATTAAAGGAAGCAGATAAGATGTTGCTGTCCAATTTCCCATTTGAATTGGTGCGCCTTACATTCAGGGCTGTCTTCTATTTGGATAAATATCACAGCTCATAAAAAGAAAATATAGTCTTTATGGTACTTTCTAGAATTGCTGCCTCCCTTGATTTGTGGAATACTTTGTATTCCTTTCCTGCCAATTTGTGGAATACTTTGAATCTATTCCTGTCAAAGTAGGACCAGAAATAAGGACAAAGTTTGTGCAATGTACTTCTTCTTGCATAGTTTATACCATATTCTTTATTTCTTCACTCTCCAACATGCATCCTTGTCTCTCTAATCCTAAAGGGATTGATCCAAACAAACATATTAGTAATTGTGGTTGAAGCACACTGGCACAGTACAGTAAGAGCAATTCTCCCCAATCCTAAACCAAGTAAACTTTGTCAAATCTCCTGCATACTCAGTGGAAAGTTTTCGTTTTGTCATTGTTGTTTAATTATCAGAACTTTGTGATACTTGTTTTGGGATGGCATTGATGTACTCTTTTTCCAGTGTAGTGAATAAGATGACTGGCTTTTGTGTGTCACACTCATGTGTTTCAACTATTCCACTTATGCTAACTTTCTACTTACCAGTTCACTTAAACTGTGATTTATAAGAAATTGCAATTTGTGTTGAGGGAAAAAAACTAAAAAGAGTGGTGTTGTACCCACTGCTGTTACTGGATGGCATGGTTTTGACCAAAAACTCATCAGTACTTGGGAGGATTTTAAATCCATTAAACTTTCCATGTTTGTCCTAGTAGTGTATCCTCTTTATCAATCCCACTGAGGGGTCATAAGCACGTTTCATCAGAATACATATTATGTTGTTACTTTCAAACTGGAAGTTGCAAATGCCAGGCTGGCAGGCAGGTAAGTGGCTGCTGCCGGGTGGGGGAGGGAGTGAGGCGGTGTGTGAGGGTGCAGAGGGTTGGGGGGGTGTAAGAGGGTG